AATTTGCAAGGCCGTCGACTTTTTTAAATACATTTCATCAAACTTTTGCATGATTTCGTAGGCCGTTTCTAATTCACTTATGTATTCCAATTGTCGGTTCGTTATTGCGCTGTAAATATAGTTTGTAGCTTGAACATCGCGGTCGTCCCATGTACCATTGTCGGCAGATGTTTTAGCTCGCATTACCACTTCTTTACATTTTTTGAATTGTAGAAACTTGAGAATTCGTATTTTCCAATTGCTGTAATCTGAACCATCGAAAATCGGAATATTGATGTCGCTATTTTTCGCCGCCATTTTGCACATGGACAGTTTTGTTATTTTCGCTTGTTTTCGTACAATTATTGTTTTCACTTTTCTCCTTTTCAACCACGCTCTGCTACCATCTTAATTTGAAGAATAAATCTTAATTTAATGTTCATACTTTCTTTTATTAGTAAATAAACCTTAATTTATTTACAGACACTATCATTATTTAGAATACAACTACTACAAGATAGGAAAAAATCAGTGTTGCCAATATAAATGTAAAGCTTATTACCAACCAACCAGTTTCTTATCCATACTCTTACCATATCAGTGGTATAAACTGATTGGTCAGAGCGTCAAACAATGCCCTAAATACCAGCCAACCAATTCACTACTTTTGTTTTGAGGTCCTTGTTAGGTTTAATTCTAAATATATTTATAAAACAAAATCATTTAGCCACGAGAGAACAATTATAAATGAAATTTACGTCCGGCTGTATAATTAAGTACCTATTTTATTACAAACTCCTATACGTATAACAATTTCATAAATACTGCTTCAATATTACTTCCAAAATTCTTCACACAATCAAAAAGGTATCTGGTGTTAAACTAGCATCAAAGAGGACTCGTTTCATGCTAGTGATAGGGCGGGTATATCCGAAAGCTTTTTCGAAATCTTTCATATTACAACAATACGTATAGCCCTTGTCTACGTCATCCCATTCAGGGCCTTCCAACCAGTCAATGTTATTACAAATATCTAAACACAGGACGTAATTGTTCTTTACTTCTTCTCGAGTTAACTCTGGTATATTCACTTGTATTATTGCGATTGATGAATCTGTAGCTGGATCTTGAACCACCTGAAATAATTCTGCAGTTGAATAAAGTAACTAATACCTCATTGATTTCTAAACGTGCTGCCCTAGCCTAGATTATTTTAAAGTTCTAAGTAATAATTTCAAAACTTGAACATGTGGACAGTATTTGGCAGGCCCCATACATGAAAAATATATGGGGGTGATAAAAATTTTAGGATTAAAAATCATGATGGCTGGTTGTCTATGGACTTACCTTCCACAAGTATAGCGGAATTGTTTGTTGTCTTTCTCGGCCATTGTTAATTTTTATATCTACCGACAATTTGTCGTGATTTACATTTGACGTGCCTGTAAACACGATCAAGTCACGACCGGCTCTTTTTACCAGCTCCCTTACCAATTCTTCCAAATCGTCCCAATTCTGAAAATTATAAAACTCTTTATAACTGTCTTGTTATTCAAATAGCTGCAAATGCGACTGGCGTGCAAGAAATCTTGGAGTCTTTCTCCAAGTTTTACTTGTTAAAATAACTTACTTTCAGTAAGTAACTTGTACTGGTACTTTCAGTAAGAAACTAACCCTTAACTCACCTTTGAACTGCAAGAATTCCAATGTGGAACAACATTTTTATACTCAAAAGACGCCGTCGCTGGTATTCCAGGAAGCAAATCCCTAGGGTTGACAAGTTGTCTTCTACCATAGCAGCAAGAATCAGAACGTAACCTTCTTCTTAGAGCTATGCTGATGTCATACAGTTGCCTTCTACAATTATACAATTCCTCAAATTCTTCAGCAGATATATCAGAAGAGCTGAACCATTGAGACGTTGAAGAAATATCTGTATGGTGGGGAGACAGTTTATGCTTCGCGAACAAAGGAACATCATTTACTTTGTCAAAACATACGCTATATACCTCCATGAAATAATTACCCTGGGCCCAAAACCCTACACTTACGTATTCTGTATTATCACCAAAACATTTATTTTCTGTACTTTCAATGTTAGGTGTCACTTCTTTATTGCATTGTAAATCTGCAAAATTGTAAAGCTCTCCTGCTATTTTTACTATATTGTCTCGTACACAATATGCCATAATGTTGGAATATAGTGAGAGTTCAGAGTTGACGAATCCTGAAGGGCATCTCATATAAAAATAACCTTTATGTGGTATTATCATATGGTGCTTAGTTATTCGGAAAACAGACCACCCACCAGACGTTGAAAACATAACGGGATGTTTTCCTAAGAAAGATTTTTTTATGTCCAATATGCAATCTGAAAAATAAAATGTACAGGGTCACTTTACATTATTATCATTAAAAATAACATTTAAAATTTTCGAAGAAAGAACGGACAGTACTTTTTTTTAGTTTGGATTTCTGTGGTAGAAAGGTAATGTAGGTATGTAGGTAATCTATTTGACTGGAACATCTATGGCAGTAGAGTCGAAACTTATTGATTTTAGCCAAAATTCGTGATCGCGGGTTCGCTGTTTACATAAATGGTGAAAGTTCCAGATAAAAAAGGACAGAAAATACAAAGCGGAATCCTACCTCGGGATGTAACATTGAACGATCGACGGATACTGCCAAATTTATTGCTGACTTCGCATTCATAAATTCCTGTAGCACCTAATTCCATTCCTAACACATAGGACATGTCAGTAACATTCATAGTCACGCCGTCGTGAGTCCACGTCGCGCTCTGTAAATGAACGAGTATATCGAGAATAAAAAGAGGACTTTAGTTGTATTACTAGGGAGGGGGGGGGGAGATGTGTATATATGTGGATCTGTACACGTCGAAGTAAGTGTAGTATAAAATAAATATCAAAGAGCGGTGTGCATCCACTTGATTAGAGCCCAGTTTCCAGGGACACCGTATATTTTTCTAATAATTTTGACTGATTTATGCCAAGAGAGTCTAAATATATATCGTCAAAATAGTGAGTAGAGAAGTAGTAAGAATTACATTATGAAATTTAATTTACCTACCGTAGGTCTCGGTTCGCCATAAGCTTCGCAATTAAGTAACATCGGTTCGGATTCGTAGACAAATTCTATGATTTTTTCTTCTTCGCTAGTAAATATCGGTTTAAATCCAACCACTAGCTTAATGGCTATAGATTGTGTTTTGAAGAAATCGGACACACGGCAAGTTTACACTCCATCGTCACTCCGAGTTACATTTGATAAATATATTTCATCTCGTTCCATTCGCACTTTTCCGTCCTGTTTATAAAAAAGAAAAATATTTTATCGTGGCTGTTGATAAATTTTTAAAACTCGCTCGAATAGGCAAATTACCTTAAATCAACGCAATTGATCTGTGATTCTATGTGGTATTTCGCATTTGATTTCAATGGATTCACCTTCGCGTATATATAAAGTCTTTGAGGGTGTTACAGTTAATAAATCTGAAACATATGATGCATGTTTATTTTTTTTCAGAAGGTTTGCAATGAAATTTATTTGAACCTTACAAGTTAACAACAAAATGCACCCCAATGTTATCTTACCTTTTACAATCACTTCGTAATAGTCACTTTCATTGCCTACAACATTTTTTGCCAGACACATGTATGTACCTTCTGCAAAACGGTCTATGTTTTTGATGAGCAAAGTGCCATCATCTTCCATGCCATACCATTCAGACCCTGAGGAAACAAAATATGATTCACGACATATCAAGTTCCTGCCTCTGTGTAACTCATGTCAAATAGTTAAGACGTATGATCGTCAGTCAAGCTTTGGTCATCAGGTTAAGTGAATGAATGTTGCTGCATCTACATTTTTAGTCATTTGGTCAGAAAAATTGAGGTCATCTGGAATGTTTTTCGAAAATAATTTTATGTGTTCGTTTTGAATTTCCAATTTATCATCTCGCACTGCTCAGTGCTCATGCCACCGCCTTGGAAAAGTGGCGACAACAATCAGTTTTTTTTTTACATTATTTCCTTTATCTCTATCCATACAATTCATGAGATAGCAAATGTTTGTTTAATAAAATTTATAATTTGAAAATCTATAAAATAGTGTAGTTGCAGGGAATGAAAATTAAAAATCTAATTAGTTCGTCAGTTCGATAATGAAAAAAATTTAGACAAGTGTTTTTTTATTTTCTCGTATAAAGTTACAATACGTAGATAAAATGAAGTTAAGTTTAGGAATGGGAGGTCGTTACGTCACTAAGTGGTACAAAAAGTAGCGTATTGTGACGTCACACGATATTTCAGATTATTATATCGTCGAAAGTATGTATTTAATTTTGTGAGAAAAGAAAAAATGCGTGTCTAATATTATAAATTAGGTAATCTACCAGACGGACATTAAAATAAAATTTATGCAATTATTGTACAATACCAACACTCCTGATAGAATTACCAAATGACTAAAACTATAACATCTTCTATTTTTCAATGGTACTAAAGATAATATGGATTGAATTAAGGCGGGCGTGACGAGTGATTATCTGATTGGTGCAGTAGCTGGCTTAATTGCTTATCATCAGGTGATCAGTCTGCTCGTTTACCGGCTTATGTCATAAAAATACTAGTTTGAAGTCACCCTGGTACTCTCATTCATGATCAGTGTGCGTAGCAGGCTGACGTTGCATCGAGTAGAGATTTTCTCGACATAAGCAGTTCCTTTTAGTGAGCCGTATATTAGAGGTATATAATTCAAATGGCATTTATTGTAGTTACGATTAGTTACCTATTGCCAAGTTTAGACCATCTTTCTGCCAGGTAACAGTAGGTGTAGGGCTGCCGGTAGCTTTGCATTGAATCCTAAGCAACATTTCTCCATCAATCGCTTCAAACGATTTACTTGGATACACATTTTGTATAACTGGTGGTGCTGAAAATTGATATTCAATATTTAGTTATTTAGTCTCAGTTATCACAAATTCACAAGAAAGCATTTTGAATTATTAAGAGAATGGATGTGACTTACTGGTCACTTGTTATTTGGTGAGGATTCGTACAAATCGATCGGTGTACAAATTATTAAAGTACACTTAAGCAATGAAATAATACAACCATCTAATCTATAAGATATATAGAAACCAAAACGAGTTGTATGTCATAGGAAGGACTTATACATTGTAAAAAACAAACCCTACATACCATACACTTTCACTTCGTAAGTTATATTAGCTGATCCACTAATTTCATTTTCAGCAAGACACATATAAAAGCCTTGTTGCTTGAGCTGCAGTTTCTGTAGCAGTAGTGAAGGGTGTTTAGAAGACCTGAAAAAAAATAATTTTAAGTTTTGTAAATATATAGTAATTAAAAAATATTTATTTGAATACTCTAAATTCCCGTTTCATAAAACAATATTAGACGACAAATAAAATTTTTAGTTTTTAGTGCTGCATCGTGAGTAATTGAAAATAATTTATTTCACCTAGCTCGGTAATTAAAACTCTGTCTCCCTGTAAGTGACCACAAGGCGCTGAATAGATAAAAAATCATCCTAATTAGAAATACACGTAGATTTCACCGTACATCGAATTTAGAATTGTACCCATTCGTTGTAACAGGTGAGATTATGCTTTGTCAAAAAACTTACGTAACATCTATACCAAGAGCATCAGGAGTTTCGTGGAAAGTCCATTTTATGTCGGGTTTGGGTTAGCCATCGGCTCTACAATTTAGCAACGTTCCACTGCCAACCATGGTATCTACTATATTAGATTTCGGTTTCTCAATTGTCACTGGCACTGTGAACATAAATTAAAGCTTCATTACGACAAGTTACATCTCGGACGTTTTAACTTAAGAAATGAGATCAATAAGAACGAGACTTTATCACTCCAAAGAAAAGATTTTACAAATCCACTGTTGAAGAAAAATAAAATTTGATATCATTTTAATTACCATATACTTGTAGGAAAACTTTGCGTTCATCTTTCCCAAGCTTATTTTCTGCATGACAACCGTAATGTCCAGTGTCAGCTAAAGTAGTTTTGATTCTGGAAATACATATTTTTTAAATTAACCATTTGTAATTAGGATGATTTTTTCATTATCATCTGTCTGTAACTGTGGGCAATATACCATAGTACCTTAATTTTTACCCGACTGCCAAAGAAGGAGGGTAATGTTTTTACATGATGTTTTTTATTCCAGAATGTCTCAAAATATTTTAAGTTTAGCCATGAATCTAGACAGCGATTACATGATTTCTGGGAAGGATGTAGGGCATAACTGATGGTACTATAGTTAAAATTTTGTTATTCGAATCATTGATTTCACAGTTCAGTACGAAACAAAATTATTCTATTGCCACAGAATCTGTATCGGTCCAGTCATTCACGCGTAATGCCATGACCAAGGGAAAAAGGGATTCATTTTTATATATATAGATGCCAATAGGTTCGTTACTTTTACAGCTTATGAAAGCTATACAAGCTTAACTGGTTACCACATCTGCTTAACATTATTGGGAGTAAATGACGTAATGTTATGTGCGTTAAATGACCTTGAAATGATTATTTAAATTTTTACAATATGAATAACCTGACACCGACATTTGCGTAAATACAATGATAATAAAGTATAATAACGAAAGATAATAACTATGATGTGAATATTTAATCAGAAAACAAGACTTTTCTTCAAAATTTGTTTGTATCTGTAACGAAATAAGTATTTAGCTTTTACATGGGGTTTTTAGCATAATAATTGGAAGGTGCAAAATGGCATAGTAAAACAAAGGTGATATTAAATGTGCTATCATCCTTTTTTTTGTATGGTCGGTTTTATCTAGTCTAGTAGCATGTCCTCAGAAATTTTTAGTTTGCACATTTTATTGATGTATATATACTAGAAAAGATATGTCCAAGTATGCTTCCTTGCGGCACACCAAACTCATCCAAAAGCTTATGGTAAACTTCAATCTTTACGCATTGTGTTCATTTAGTCAAATAGCTTTCGAAGAATTTAGTTCTCAACCTCTCACACGTGTGCACTCCAACTTATGAATCAGTTTTGGGATGAAAACAGTGTCGAAGGCCTTAGTCCGATCCAAAAGCATTGCAAGATTTTTTTACTTCTATCCAAAGTTAATTATTATGTTTTTCAAGTTACTCCGTAATTATTTGATGAGGACCTCATAATTATTAACATAATAATTAAACTGTCAAACACCACGAGGACACCGGTGATCGCAACCTAATGTTCTTTAATTGTGTCTATAATGACGGGTTCAAAGTTGTTGGTTGACGGCACTCAAAGGGTTAATTATGCCTTACGAAAGTTAGAATATATATAAGATTATTCTCCCCAAAGCCAATACAATAAACCTATGCAAATAAATGATTTGATGTGCAGAAGATTGTTGACCTATTTATTTTAAAGCAATACTGTTTTAAAGAGGAAATGCTGTTTTCTAAAAATACTTAAACGCATACAGCGTTTTTTTTTAAGCTATTGTAATTGCATATTTATAACATACTTTTACAGTTGTAAGTACATACTACAGTATTGTGCCGCTGCTACTTACATAAGACTGTAATCAGTAGTAATTCGAGTTCTTGAAGTACTTCTTATTTTGATACTATTGAATGTCCAGTATACCGTTGGCGTCGGCACTCCAACAACGTCACATGTCAATCTTGCTTCATCGTCATCTACAACCTTCATTTCCTTTGCATCACTTTTAATAAGCGGTGGATCTGAAAAATACATAATATTTGTAATATAATTTTCCCTCTCAGGCCTGATTTTTGTAATATTTTTATCGAAAGTATTAAAACAATACTTAAGTACCTAAAATTCATATAATGATACTATGTTGTAGCCGAGAAAACAAAGAGTGCGAAATTAAAAAAATATGTTCATATTTACATTCTACTATCACTTCTGTTTCGTGATTATCTGTTCCCAATACGTTTTTCGCTGTACATATGTACAGACCACTTTGGACTCTTTGAGTATTTTTCAACTTTATGGTCTCTCCAGTTTGTTTTAAATTCTTTTTTATGCCCGGACCTCGTAACGACCAGGTAATAGTCGGTTTTGGGATCCCCTTAAGAATTCTGCAATAATAAAGTTTATAAACATTGGTCATATAGTGGCAAATATATGTAGTAGACAGACATATTCTGACAAGATTGGCAATTAAAAGTAGGTACTCGTAACAGACGAGCATGCACGAAAAGATTGATAGTTGTTGATGGAGCGAAAGACGTGTGTAGGAACGTAGCAATTGGCGTTCCATTGTCTCTGACTACCCCCATGGGAGATAGGTGTGAAGTTGTGTGTATGCAGGAGAGTATGGTCTAGTTGGATAATATTCTAAAAGGTATTACTAATAAGTAAACGGATGTCAGTATATGTTCCTACTATTGCAAAAATATGGAAAAGGGTAAAACGAAGTCTGGTATTTTGACTTATGTTTGCTATTGCCCAATAGGGCGAAACTTGTACACTGACTCGCGAAATTGATGTAGGTGATTTCTATACAAAATGATAATACGTGAACATTACAAGTTTTTTTAAATCAAGATAGATCAAACTTAAAAAACGTAAGCTTGACCGCGAGACATAATAGTCGCATATCCCTTTGATATACAGTTGCCATCATTACACTAGCGCACGATCGCATATTTGCGTTTTTACAAGTTCTTACGTAATCAGGTGATGCTACGTCCATCGAGTTACATTTGAACTTACCTACAAGATAATTCACCATTTTTTTTCTCTGTTATACGGATTTCATCAACTGACTTATCTATAACAGGTTGTTCTGAAATAAATATTTCTTTGAGTATCCGAACAAGTATAAACCTTTCCTCTTTATAATATCGTACAGATGTGTAAAGCTGACTTACCTATACCAAATATTTCGACGTGTGAATAAAATACTTTCCTCTCTTTATCATTTCTTGCTTCACACATGAACTTTCCTTCCATACCTGGTTGCATGTCTTTCAAGGTCACCACCGTCTGATCTTTGGATATCTCAATACGGCTGCTACTAGACAAAGGCTTTGCATCTTTATACCAATTTATAGTGGCCGATGGGTAGGCATCTACTTTGCAAATAAGTTTACCTTCTTTTGCATATTCTATACGAATATCTACAAAGAAAAACATATGTTTAAGTGACAATAAACGGTGTCTGCTATTTTTATTCCTTGTCAGTTTTATTACTGTTAATATATATGTACGTTATTATCTATGTATTTAAGGGTACAGTGGGGTAACTTCAGGATAGATGACCACCATTTTGAAATAGCGTTAGGTATACTTCTAGAATTTGTCATATTACAACCATGCATCCAATGTGTATGATAGAAGCTTTGGTTTCTGATCTACTATTTTGGTACGTAGGTTTATTTATTTTAATGTATTATATTGGATTCGTGTTAATCGTTTTTTATGACTTGTTATAAATGGGATAGGTGCCTACCGTAAGGGATAGACGCCCACGCCCTTTAAAATAAAACCAGCTATGTTCATATAATATGTTAGTTGTAATTTATTTAAAAACATATAATAAGTAACAAACAAAGTGTCATTGTAGGTTAACGGCAGCAGTAGTTTTAGTCAGTAAGAGTCTGAAACGCGCTCTCACCTCACTCAAAGCGGGAAAAGTCAACATGCATGAGTTCTTCCATTTTGATTAGAAAGAAAAGGCATTTATTTGACAGAAGGCACGCACACAGATACAAAAATAGAGAAAAGATAAGATACTTATATAAAAGGTAATACAAAACAATAATGATGATAAACTAAAAAGAATAATGCCAAGAGCAAAAAAAAACAAAGTATAACAAAACAGTGATAATAAAATCATAACATAGAAAATGATTAACTTTTCTTCTTTCTTGATTTCTTCGAAAACTGCTACTGGGCTTTGTTCTGTCCAGACGATGTTACACGGGATTACACTTTGTGTTATTTTATATTTCTGAGGCATTTCGACCCGCTGCAACACCAAAAGTATTTTATATAACACGATGTAATAGATGTCCTTAGGTCTTGTCTATCCCTTGCCTAAAACGATGCAACTTCACTATACACAGAGAATAGATACACTTTTATATAAAAAACAATTAACGGAGCGCTGTATCAATATAGTTACGTATGCAGTAAAAGCTACAGAGAAAACAAATAAATAGATTAAAAACGGCAATTAGAAATAAAAACTTACGTATATTATTTTCACGCCTTGCGCGATCTTTACTCTTTATAGATTATTGCACGTACAGAAAAAAACGCGTGCGCTTACGCTTACGATCATAGTCATCGCTCAACCTTAGGTTCGCAGAAAGGGTGTAGTCTAAGAGGGTGTCTATTATGCACTGGTCTCGCTGGTTCACTACTAGTACAAATTGAAATCTAGGCATCTATACAACTGCGGCATCTATCTTGTTATTACTCTACATAGATAGTTTGAAGATTTAGGTTACCTTTAGGTGAATCGATTACATCAAAAAAGAATTTCCTTTTTGCTGTAATTTCTACGCCTTGAACGTCATTTCCATTTCGGTTGTTAGCTTTACATTGGTAGGTTGTATTCCTGTTTGCCTTGTCTATTTTTAAAATACTGACATAATCATAGGGTACTTCGACTATTTTGATCTGAAAATATTGTGTAACAAAAAAAATAAATAAAGGTAGGAGGTATTCAACCTCCTTTTATTGAAGTGGGTTAAAGATGATATTATTATTAATCTGAATTTAATACAAGATCAAACTGATCACATAAATAAAATTATATCAGGCGTTATATAAAGTGTAATTACCTCAGCAGGCATTACAATCCCAATGTCTCTATCTTCCCATATTATCTCTGGTTCAGGATAAGCGTGAACTTTACAAGTCAGTTCTAATGGATCATCAACGTATAGAGTTATTGAAGTATCACCATCAATCGTAACTTTCGGCGCAGTGTCAACTTTTACCTCAGAATCTAAAAACAGGATTGACAATTATTTAATATGTTTTTGTATTTTTGGTTTAGAGTCAATATCACAATGTCTGAATAGCGGTCACGTACCAGATAAATTTGAAAATTACTATTAATTTATTATTTCCTTTGTGGATTCACAGATTCACTACATACTTAAGTAATCCACAGTCTATCTGTCCCTATATTTATTGATTGTTTAAATAGATAGAGTGATTCATAAAGAAGGTTATGTACAATACATGCACATAGCACCCGTGCGAAACCGGGGCTAGTTGCTAGTTCAAAATAAATAAAATTAAGACAAATGTTTCACCTGTAGACAAATCTTGTCTGGATATTGGTGTTGGACTTCTTCTCGTTACTGGTAATTTAGTATTAACGTCGTATCCATTTATCTATAAGAGATAAACACATATAATATCGGCTAGAAAAGCTTATCGTTTTAACAGACACATTGCTTGGAGATTGGTATGTATGACCTGCAACACATTATATTAAAAAAAACAGCAATACCCTTGCACTATAAACTGTTTTGAATCCCTCCAAAATTAAGTAAGTTAAGAGTTACCAATCCTCCAATCGCGTTTTCGCATAAGCACTCAGCTTAGATAATATTATTATAATTATAAAATGAATCGCATTATTTTTTTAAATAAAACGTTGCTCCACGCCACGATTTTCTCCTGTATTATGGGTGAATTTACAAACATACAAATTCACATACACATGACACCTATACCCAAAACAATTTGTGTATCACGATGCGCGATTGCCAATTGCCTAGCCACCGCACCGCACCAACCGTGCTGTCCAATTTCCTAATCTCTAAGGCCGACAATGCACTCGTAACTCCTCTGATGTTGCGGGTGTTCATTGGCGCTGTTCAGGTGATTAACTTTGCTTGTTTACCGCTTTATACCATAAATACATACTCACAATTACACGGAACATAGTAGACGGTGGGTTAAATGATGGCGTTACATAGAATTGCGATTTTTCATCTAATAGTTCTAATGTTAGTTCCTCTATGACTTCATCCTTCATTCCAAGTATTTGGACTGTTTCCAATTTGACTCCTGTCCCGAGTAACTTGACACCCATGAACACATTCCCTTCTGCAAAAAAAATAACAATCTTCACAACATCAACGTTACTACTATTTAATTGTATCCTGGGGAGAAGGTAGAGATACGCAAACTAGGTTTCAGTTAAAAATTACCATCCAAGCCATTAGTGTTGGTCTTGCAAACATAATTTCATATTGTGTGACTGATTTACTCATTGATAATCTACAGCCTAAACTGCAGAAGTTTTGGCTAGGAACCTAGGAACCTAGAAGGCTGAAACTTATATGTATGTATGTTCATTGGCGAGTCTAAGGGAGTACTAAGAGAGGATTTCCCAAAATTCTAATGAGAACAGTAAAACCGGGAAACACGCTTGTGCGTACGGAGTCACGTTTGAAACCTAATGTAATAGGAAATCTATACAAACTTGGCGGTGGTCTCGTGACGATGTCTTTGCTGGATTTTGGCTTGAACACATTAAATCCGAGTTGAAAGTTGATTGTGCTTTTTGCACTAACAACTGCATGCGTTTCGGACATGCTTCCGATCGACACGACGTGTTCTCCTGGCTTTGCACCGGTCACCTTCACCACCTGTTAACGGAAAAAAAAATTACTTAGCGGCTAATTCACCACCTTCATGTATATAAATACCCGATAAACTTATGTAACAGATAGTTAATACAAATTTCATTTTTAATTAAAATTTATCAAGGGGATCCAGACCTTGTGAAACAGGCACTTACAGTCTTTGAATAGCTGGTGCCATTTATAGGGTGCTCTATACATTTACTAAGGTTTTAGGGGTATAGTAATACCATCTAGGATCCAGGTTGACTAAGTCTAAATTAAAATGATGTCTACAGACGAATGTTTTCTGACGTCAGTCATATCGAACAGACATTATATGACTATAGACGTGTTTAATTAGGGCATAAAAATACCGACTCATTAATTAATTTATTTTACCAAAAGGATATTATTTTCGATCTATGCTTATATACTTCTCATAGTATCTCATAAATAGTAGATAATTATTGGAAAACTTACCGCCATTTCAGATTTTCCTGATACTATGTGTGACATATCGGGCCGACTTCCATCGGGACCAATTACATCGTCGATTTTAGGTATTTTCCCAGTCACAGCTATTAGTACATCTCCAGTGTGGGGGTCGACAATATACTGTGAACGAAAAGTAATATTTATACTATTTTGTTTGCAAGCTGACAGAAATGGTCGAAATTAATTGTTCTATAGTTCCACAAAATTGAACATTAGTAGCTGAATCTAAAATAATCTTGTGATCAGTGTTGTGAAAGTCAAAGTAAAAATAATTTATTTCATTTAGATTGTGGGGTATAGTCTATAAATATATATCTGCCTAGTAAGCAATCATGTAAACGGTCGGGGGGCAGTCGCCGGTACGTTTGTGGATCAAAAAGTACAGTTTTTGAGGGAACTGTAAAATGTATTAATAGTGGTCACCCATATGCCGATTTACTGGAATCATTTCAGGACATCACACGACCACCTATTTTTAAGGACATCCCAGAGCATTCTGTGTACCACCACATCGAGACCACAGGTTCTCCAGTACACGCCAGGGCAAGGCGTTTGCCGCCACACAGGTATGATTTAGTTAAGAAAGAATTTCAATTAATGCAAGAGCTAGGAATATGCAGGCCATCAAACAGTGAGTGGGCGAGTCCACTGCATGTAGTACCGAAGAAAAGTGGTAAAATTCGTCCTCGCGGCGATTACAGGATGCTTAATACGATTACGAAACCTGATAGGTATCCCATTCCTAGAGTTCAAGACTTCACGTACGGACTACATGGCAAAACATTTTTTTCCAAAATTGATATTTGTAGAGCTTACCATTTTATTAAGATAAGTCCCGAGGACATACAAAAACGGCTATCATTACACCATTCGGTCTTTATGAATTCCCTAGGATGACGTTTGGACTGCGGAATGCAGCCCAAACCTTTCAAAGGTTTATAAATAACACCGTACTTGCCGGTATAGAAGCAATAGATTACAGTCATGGGAGTTTAAGCGATAAGAATAATCTAAACAATATTACAGGACGGTCAGTCATATTCGGATTCCTTGATGACGTCATAATCGGTTCAGATAACAGTGCCATACACAGAGAACACTTGAGGTTATTATTCGAACGGTTCAGTAAGTATAAAATGTCTATTAATATAGGGAAATGTGTTTTCGGTCAGTCAAAGTTAGATTTCTTGGGGTACGAAGTTTCAGAAAAGGTCATCAGCCCCTTACCAGATAAAATTAAAGCTATAGAAACATACCCCAAACCGGAAACCATTGAACAGCTTCGACGGTTTCTGGGGATGTTAAACGTTTATAGGAATCATATACCAGGAGCAGCAAAGGTTCAAGGAATTTTAGATAGATATTTGCACGGTGCTAAGAAGAAAGATAAACGTAAAATTGATTGGTCAGACGAAGCGTGTAATGCATTTGAGCAGTGTAAAGAGAAGCTAAAAGATGCCGCCACATTAAGTTATCCTATAACAGATTCAGAGTTATGTTTAATGACTGACGCTTCAGATTTTAGTATAGGCGCAGTATTACAACAAAAAGAAAATAATGTTTGGAAACCGCTTGGTTATTTTTCAAAAAGGCTTACGGAATCGCAAAAGAAGTACTGTACATATTACTTTACATGGATGACCTCAAGTTGTTTGCTCCAAACAAGAAACAATTGATGACAAGGAACTTTTGGCGATTTATTCAGGCATACGTTATTTTAGAGATCTCATAGAAGGTAGGAATTTCACGGTTTATGCGGACCACAAACCTCTTACGTATGCATTCACAAGTTAGGATCAAATAAAGAGTTACCTAGACGGGCACGTCAATTAATGTTTATTAGTGAATTTACGAACAATATACAGCACATTGACGGTAGCAAGAATGCAGTCGCAGACGCATTATCGAGAATTGAAGCGATAACATGTCCAGGCTCAACGGAATACTTAGAAATTGCGAAAGCGCAAGCGGCAGACGCTGAGCTAGCAAAATTAATCAGTATAGACTATACGCCACAAGATCAAGAAGCCGTTTATGTGTGAGAGAGCCATGATTCGGCACGAGTGGGCCGGCTCGACCGGAGTGATACCATAGCCTCACAGAAAACTTACGAGAAACAATGCGTCATAGTGTTCCGTCATATGGGTGACGTTACCGGAGGCCCAGTTACTCCCCCTCTCCCCGATCACCCCAATCCCTGAATCCCCCCGTACAATCTTCAAATTCCAAACGTCAAAAAAAACATGTGCTATTGTTTCGAAATAATCTAAAGTACTCACTGTAAGATTTTTACCATAACCAGACGGTAATTTTGTGTCGACAAGCTTGCTTCCTATGCCTGTGATAGACTCTTCAATATACTTCAATATCTGTGGAAATATAATATTAGTAGACAATTAAAGTAAAACTATTAGAAATTTTGAATTTACAGTTTTTGCCGTAATAGTTATGAATGAGTAAACGTTTATATACACTTATTTTAAATTAATAAACAACTTTTATAATACAAAAATTAAAAGATTGATGAACTATAGCTTTCTTTTGATTTACAGGCGTCTTTGTTTATTTATGTTCTATTTAAATATGTGATTTAATTTATCATTAGGTTTCGTAACATTTAGAGCGTATAAAGAAAATTTTTTGATTAAACATTTGATCAATTTTCAAGACCACCAAAATCGCAGCAATTCTTATAAGCCAGGATCCACATTAGATAGAACCTATAATAATGATGTACTTATTACTTATCTCATTCATTTCACTTCATATTATTTCATTTCAAGATTAGTGGATAGGTAGGTAGTTAGGTATAGGAAAGATACGAATAAAACTTGTTGTTTATGCACTTCTCCTTTTTTATTCGAGTTTTGAAGCTCAAAATAGAGAAGTTGCTGGCTTCTGTATAAAGCTTTTAACCCAGCCAGATGTTTGTCGAGATTTTCAGCTATTCAGAGAAGTAGCCGACACGCTTATCGGCATTAGAGATCGACAAAGTTATTATTCTGATTAAAATTTTACTTACTAATCTTATATTTATACTTGACTATGACGGCCTCGTTGGCCCAGTGGTCGCAAATGCAACTGCCGGGCGAAGGGTCTCGGGTTCGATTCCCGGGTTGGGCAAAGTACTACTGGGATTTAAAATTCTTAGTATGTAGTAGCACTGAGTTTAGAATTGTGCTCAGTATATGGCAATAGGCTAACCCCCTATTACATGGGATTCATAACATAAATAGTGAAAATTGGTTACATAGTACAGTGGCATAATATAAACCTCTACCTACCCCTTCGGGGATAAAAGACGTAATTTTATGTTATTTATACTCATTACATATAAGTAGCTGAAGAGTTTATTTTTAACGCACTAATCTCAGAAACGACTGACTGGTCCGATTAAAAAATAAATTTTTGACTAAGATAGCCTATAATAGTTTATAGGATAACAATAAATGCATTAAAGACGGCTATATTGGCTATAAATATCACGCTACGATTAATAGGCACTGAGCAGAGAGGGTGAAACCGCCAAAGTTTAAAAAAAAACAACAATTCTTACATCTTTCACGTCATCTTTCATCATATGGAAGACTTGACCAGAGGTAGCCTCTGCCAATTGGTGAAACACTTGGTAATCAGCACCCCTTCTACCGTTGCATTCTCCAGTCAGTATAAAAACAATCTGTAAATTTCAAAATGATTTAAGTATTAAAGTATACTGTAACAATTTCTTATTCTAAGACTTAGCGTGTTTCTATAAACTTGTGCTCATCTTATTTTTTTCGGTTTTTCAAATCCTGAGTAGTATTAAGCTTATAATAGTGACTCCTCCCTTATGGTGTGCTGAAACACATCATCATCATCATATGATGATGATGATGTGTTTCACGACATCACTCTTTTTCTTACCCCGTCAGTAAAAAAAATGTGACAAAATTTAATATTTTTTATCTTATTTTTTTTTAAACGTTGCCCCACACTAGATTTTTTTCCTGTGCCGTGGGGGCGTTTACAAACATATAAGTTCACATACACAATGATACCCAGACCCGAAACAACAATTTGTGGATCACAATATTACACTGCATGCAAAAAGGAGAATAATAAAAATAGCAATATAACTACCTGACTCTGCATCTTCTGTGAAAGACTCTTGACCTGCTCAAACCTTGCGTAGTCTTTAGCTGATGCATCAGTGAAAACGTACAAATATGAATGGGGCCTACTAATTCGAAGTGCTAAGCTAATGCCTTCCATGGCAGCTTCTGGGCAATCACCGCCTCCATGAACATGTATTGAAGCCAAAGCGCTTTTAAATTCATCCCGTTTTGTGGTAACGGTACGCTGGCTAGCGTCTAAAACAAAAGTAAAGTAAATATTTCAACCGATTCACCTTTTTTGAATGTACCAAAAGTAAATATTAAAAAAAAACGTTGCCCTTTGACAATTTGTTGATCACACAAAATGGGTTGCTCCGTGCGGGAATCGAATCCGCGATACGTTGCGCGGCAGCCGGTTACACAGCCACCGCACCAACCTATTAGTAACTTTCAATAACAGAACCGCTAAAAAGAAATTTTATCTACTTTAGCATCGTATGTCACGTGGTAGAGGTTATATCTGACTACTGGACTAAACCCGAAAGACCAAATTATATACGTATAATGTCACATGCGCAATATAAAATGAACGAAAACAGATAAAAAATATATATCAAGTTGTTTTTAGTAGATTGTGCCAAGAAGTTTGGTTCAAACCAAACAAGGACATCAGGAAGGTCTCTGTTCTATGCTCCATCTATTTGGAATCAATAAGACGATACAACGAGGCTCGGAAAGTATGTATTGGCATTTTATATTAAAAAGTACACGTTCATCTGCCGCTTTTGGAGACAAAAGGCTAATGTTATGGGGTGATCGTAGCACTAGTAAAATACTAAAGACTTACACGGATCGTTGAACGTGACGAGCACAAAATTTTCTATCTGTGATGCCTTCGAACTTAGCACTTTCTCAAATATAATGTTAACTTCTTCTTTCACTTGCTTTATTTCATTCCACATAGATGCCGTATCGTCTATTACGAACGTTAAACTACTTTTAATAACTGCATCGTCTGCAACAGCACAAAATGTGAAGAACAGAACTAAGAGTCCTGAATGTGCTCTCTTAGAAATCATCGTGTGTACTAATGATTAATGTAGCGAGTAGATATTTATAAATCCAGTGTTATATGAAACCGACAATGACCTAATGATATAGAGTTCAGCAGTTTCCAAGTAATAATAAGTGTTCGGGAATCCCGCGTCGAGTGTCGCCACTCCAATTAAGATTAAAATTAAAAATAACGCTACGTAACTATACATAACGTCGCGTCGTCATCTCAACAAATCCCCGACGTAAGATAAGGTTGCTAGTTCCAAACCAGGATTTGAAAGAAAAGGAGAGTTGGTCATAATATATTATAGTCATGGAGAAGGTTTTTTTTTAAGGGGGGAAAATCATCAAATGACTGCTCCCGCCTGGGTGAGGCGGGAGGGAGTGTCAGACTCTTACTGACTAAAAACTACCCCGTTCCTTCTCCTGCACGTCGAGCCGGAGCCCCAGTTACCCGTTAGGTTCTCCGCGATTATGGAAAAGGATAGGTGCCAGCTGTTGAGTTGAATATCGAGTATCTGGCGGTCGTACTGTAATCTAACACTTCTACAAATATAGGAGGAGGCCTTGGTGACGAAAAGTGTTAAATCACCTCAAAAAAAGCGTCCACCACGTATATCATCCAATTGTGCAAAATTTTATTCAAATCTATTCAATAATTTTTGGCGGAAACAGTAGCATCCACACAATCATGTCGTTGATTATATCTTTATTTCCATCTATTCCATAAAATACTATTAGACCCCTACTATCTGCTATTCTACCAATGACCAATAAACACTATACTCTTATACATCTTTTGTATACATGTATACTAGTATTATAAAGAGGAAAGATTTGATGTTTTTGTTTATTTGTTTGAATTGAACAGGATCAGAAACTACTGGAGCGATTTGAAAAATTCGGCTACCATTGGGTTTCTACATTATTCTAATGAACATAGGCTATATTTATAAATAGAATAAATGGGGACCGTGTGAAAATTTAGATAAAACTAGCTTCTGCCCGCGACTTTGTACGCGCAATCCCATTTTCTCCCGTTCCCGTAGGATTTTCAGTATTTTTTCTGTCTCTTTAAGAACCTTCACCTGACAATAAAAAACACAATAAAAAAGAAATCAACCAAATCGGTCTAGCCGTTCTCAAGTTATGGCGTGACAATGGGAAACGGGTTTCATTTATATATAAATATAGAATAGATAACACGATGTTTGAAAAATCTACCAGAAAGATTCTTATGTTGCTTATGCTGTTCTTAAAAATTCCAATTTCTGGCAAAACTCATAATTGTATGCGGATAAAGTCACGGGGCACAGCACATGATATGACGGCAGGATCATGTTACGCTGCACAGTAGTCGATAGCCAACAGTGTATTCGCATATGCAAAATTAATGCTGACTGATGCATTTTCCGTCTGATATCATGAGTCCGCGCCGGTTTCGTCTGTAGACCTACTTTCCGAAACACCAACTGTATATTGAGTGTTCTTGGATGGTATTATAAGAGTTATTTGTTTTGAGATGAGTCCTTTGGTCAGCAGTGGCTACTTATAGGCTGTTTATGTGATATGATATGATATCGCTTATGAACAATTAGCGAATTAACATTCATGAAAAGTTGGAACGGTTCGATTCCCGAGTCGGGCAAAGTATTACTGGGTTTTTATAAATTCTCAGTAGTAGTACGGAGTCAGGAATTGTGCCCGGTATATGGCAATAGACTCACCCCCTATTACATGGGACTTATAACATAAATAGTAAAAAGTGTGTGTTACATTGTACAGTGGCATAATGTGCACCTCTGCCTACTCCTTCGGGGATAAAAGGCATGGTATTATGAAGAGTTGGAACGAGCTTTTACTGAGCGGCTAAAAAAATTGATTATCCAAGCTATTATATACAGTAGCAAATTGCTCTAATTATGAACGATCTCTCTTATTCCAAAACTGTTGATCAATATACAACGATCTTTCTAATGCAATGGAAATCTTCTTATGGGACTTTCATGCCGGGCTCTACCATTAAAAGTTCTTCAGTCTGTGGTCTCCTCATTAAAATTCCTAACCTTTGTACTAGTGTTACTTTGGCAAAAATATTGTGTGAAAGGATATAAAAATATGCTAAGGTATTGTGTCTTGCAAAATCGACTCACTTCCAATTTAATAGCAGTTGCACGTCAGAGGACTAAATTAAAATTAACATAGTTATTTATTTTGTACCTCGCATTTACTTCTACAGTTATGCGTCTTCCAAGTGGTAATAAAGTAGTCATCATCATCAACAGCCTATGAATGCCTACTGCTGATCAAAACCTCTGCTCACACGGAGAAGGTTTGAGCATTAATCATCACTCTTGCTCAATGCGGGTTAGCAAAACAAAGTAGTAACAAGTAATAAAGTATTAATAAGACCGCAGTAGTGCTTATTGTGTTTTTTGTTTGTTTAACTCGTCGAGTACCGGTTTTGTAGACACAATTATAGAACAATAGGTTGCGGTCACCGGTGACCGCTTGGTGTTTGACAGTTTAAAAAAATGTTGCCTTAACTAGGATTTTCTTTTATGTCGTAAGTTCGTTTAAAATCATACAATTTCACTAACACGTGAAACAATAATTTGTGGATCAAATCGTGCAAAGAATTGTTCCGTGCAGGATCGAACCCGCAACACGTTGCACGGCACCCGGTTGCCTAGTCACCGCGCCAACTGTGCAGTGCAGCAGATCATTTTGTTTCTACGAGTATGTATTTTGATTTAGTAGTTTGTGAAGCGTATCTAATACATTTATTTATTTGTATTCATAATATGTAATATTTCCATTATAAACTCAATCTAATGCGTATTTTGAGTTATCACAAATCGAATCTTCTTTGATTTCTCTCCTTCGCGTTTTGACCAGATGAATTTATTTTTATAATGGACTAGCTACTTCCGCGCGGTTTCACACGCTCTGCGCAGCTCCTATTGGTCGTAGCATGATGTTTTATAGCCTATAGTCATCGTCGATAAATACGCTATCCAACACAAAAAGAATTATTCGAATCAGATTTGTAGTTACGGAGATTAGCGCGTTCAAACAAACAAACAAAAAAACAAACTCTTCCGTTTTATATAATAGTATAAGATAATATACCTATATGATAAATTCAACATCTGACAAACTAAAACGAAAGCCCCTCATGTAAAATTTTATTTAGAAAATCTACGTATTAAACGGTTTTATTTAGCTTGCACCGATTGTTATTTTGAGTCAAAACTTAATGGTTATTTGATCCCTTCCTGACTACAGATCGATCTGATATTTGGTACACTTTTAATCTTAATGACTATAAGTACACTACTATAATCTATTTTTTTTCCAAATATCTCTATTATGTATATCAAATGAATGGACTTTATTGGTACACTAGAGCTCATAAAACCGTTTACATAAAAAGATTTATTATGTATTACTTGTAACTTCGTTATGTAGGTAAACACAGTCGTGCTCTTCCAGGGTCACTAGTGATGTCAAAACATTTCAATAATGTATTACTTTAATTTAATTAAAGTCATTATTTAGAAAAATATTAGTATTTAGAAGGAGATAATTTTATCAGTGTAGCTAACAGGAAAAAGATAAAGAAAAGAAACAAAACATTTTACGTAATTTTGGTCAGTTATATTATCAGTTCTATATATACAGCAGTAGGTAGTCTATTTGATAAGTCAATTGTTCAATACTGATCATTCACTCACTCCATTTTTGTATAAAAATAACAACAACATAAACATAATATGACGTCTTTTATCCCCGAAAGGGTAAGCAAAGGTGCACATTATGGCATTTAAATTTCACTGTACAATTTAACATGTAATAGGAGTTGAGCCTATTGCCATATACCGGGCACAATTTCAGACTCCGTGCTACTACTGCGATTTTTTTTAAACCAAGTAATACTTGCGGATCGGGAATCGAATCCCGGTCCGGTAGTCGCACTTGTGAACACTTGACCAACGAGGCAGACTTATAAAAATATATTGTATATATTACATCTATATCTAACATTCATGAGACATAGGTATTTTCGGTTAACTCAAGTAACTGTTTAACAAGGAACTCAACTAGTTACAAGTCATGCATAAAGCTCATATTGATGAGCGGCATTGCGCGACACACTAATGCTCATGAATATGAGCATTGAAACTAGTTATATGCGTAAACCGAAAACAATGTTTAACATGCTTTATAATTTCATTTAATTTTGTATATCTTACAATACATTGTGAGTCACACAAAAAATAGTTTTGTTTTTTTTATAAGCTATTTCACACAAGACATTGTGTTTCGTCGTGTGTTTAGGTTACGGAGGCCCAATTAAACTGTCAAACATCGCGAGGACTACGGTGACCGCAACCTATTGTTCTTTAATTGTGTCTATAATGACGGTATTCAAAGGGTTAATCCGAGTCCCCACTCTCCCCAATCCCCGAATTCCCCACAATCCTCAAATTACCAATTCCCTAAAGGCAAGGCATTTGTAACGCCTCTGGTGTTCCAGGTGTCCATGGGCGACGCCGATTGCTTACCATCGGGTGATCCGTCTGCTCGTTTACATGCCTATCCCATAAAAAAGACGTCGCCTGTCGTGGCGTATTTTAAGAACTCTCGAAATGATAATAAACGACTACTGTATGTTCCTCCAGTCCTGCACAGTATTACGTTTCACTTGCGAATGCGATACGACACCGTGTATGAGTGCACTGGCTTAGATTGTTGCATAGACTTTGCTTGTGAATGAGACAGTACACAAGATAAACGTGTCAACCGTTAAGGAGAATGCCCTACAAGTAGACAGCTAACATTCTTAGGTCAAAAGTTATCTCGTGCAACATTGCAATTTTACTGTATTGCTCACTAAGGCGTAGTCTAGACTAGTAACTTGAATTTCTCTTTACCTCATCTAGATATAAGATAATTGAAGCCAACACCTTAATGTAATATATACAAACATTTATATATTAAATAGGTATTCCTTTTTTTT